TGAAATATGGATTTGGCCCTTGGGTAAGTGTAAATGTACAAGCAGCCTTCCACCCTATACTCTTGAAGGCATAACCTGCGATTTACCTCCTTCACCAAGGCTCAGGGCAGGGCAGGACAGGGGACGCTAAGCATGCGGTTCATCCTTTTTTTTTTTTTTAGCAGGTTAGCTCTTTTGTTTGATATCTAAAGATTCGATAACAGTGCTCATTTAATATTACATACAAAATTTGCACACCGTGCTTGCTTATTAATGCCTAAAAATGAGTTATAGATATTGAAAGTCAATTGTCTCCTCTAAAAGTATCTCCTCAATATAAAGAAGATCTTACATTTGAAGATTCTCTCGTAGATACTATAAATACTAAAAAATTGAACACCAAAAATGGTTAGAAATTAAAAAAAGAAGAAGAAGAAGAAGAAAAAAGTGTAATTTAAATCCTCTTATATCAGTCTCTTCCTACGCAAGCTCTTTGAAGAAGCCCTTGAAACGAAGTATCCAACTCCAAGACACATCACCCAAATCCCCACATCCAGGGCCCATGCTACCGCCTCCATTTCCACGTCCATCTCGCCACCTTTATTGCTGCTGAAAGCGATAACCAACCTCTTCATCTGATGAACAAGCCAATACTAACTCTTCGGACGATGGATACTCCAAGTCATCGTCTCCCACATCCCCTAAACTCATCTCTATTTCATTCCTTACGTCATTCATGTTTGGTCCAATTTCAATGTCATCTATCGCATTGCGGTCGTACAATAAATCATCTTCCTCAGAAGCAATGTCAACCTTGGAATGAACGAAATCGGGGTCTTCCTCATAATCTGTCATCAAATTAATAAAAAATAAATTTCAATAACTACAATGTATGAATTACCTATAATTGGAGCTTATGTAAAATAACACATACTGGAGCTCTAAAATCACACTAGCTGAGCTTAAAATGAATCACCTATAATTAATATTAGTTTTTAGAAAGCAGCATCCAATACCTTTTTGTAATGCATATAAATCAAATGAAAGGTGAGCTTTACCTCAGTGATCTCCCTCCATGTTTGCAAATTGAAACCTCAATTAGATGTGCTGCTATGTAACCGTCCAGGTAAGGTCTTTTGTGGGTGAGCCGACTGATTTTCGGACATTATTCGTTAGGCAGATTGTGTTTTACACTATAGGATGATAAAGAATGATGGGTGTTGGGAGATTACAAGCTGAAATTTACTTCATTTCCGGTGGGGTGATTTGGATTTGGAAATGATTTAGGGCTCGTTTAATTGAAGGCGTTGGAGAAACATAATGTGCTTCAGGTTATGTTTTTGACTTTGGCAGACAGGCAATTTGGAGTTTTCGAAATGGAGGGTTCGCGATTCTACTGGATTTGGATGGGATTTGAATTGGGGATTTGGGTGGAGGTTTCGATTTAGGGATTTCGAATTGGGCTCCCAAAATTGAAGTGCTAGGAAGGTGAGGAGTGAGTAATTTCCATATTAGGCTCTGAAGTGGCAAGAAATTCACGACGTTTGCTGCCAATAAGGATTTCTTCGAGCCACATCAGCTGCTGTTCAAATGGGATTCTGGTCAGTGACGGAAGGAGGGAACGTTGGACAAGTTCAGTGACCGATCAGCATCATATTGAAGTTTAGTGACCACAACGCGACAATGTTCAAAGTTCAATGACTAATGAAACTTTTTACTCTAAAATTTACTGCATTACAATCGCCAAAATCTGTGGGCCAATAAAAAAAAGAATGATGCTACTTTTTACTCTAAACTTTTTACGCGGCAATGTTCAAAATTCAGTGATTAATGAAATTTTTTACTCTAAAATTTACTGCCTTGACAATCGTAAAAATATGTGGGCCAATAAAAAAAGAATGATGCTACTTGTACATAAAGAGTTATATAATGATTTACATACAAATAATGTATTAAAAAGAGAGTGGAGAGGAGTTTTTTAATTGAAAAAAATTTGATCAAATCATATCTCATTACATCATGTGTATGTAAATCATTATATAGATGTAGCACAACTAATAAAACCTTTTGAATAACTGTCAAGAAGATCTCATGAAAATTGAACATTAGGTTAACTATACCACTAAAATTTTCAAACAAAAAAAATTAGAATGACATATGAGTAAATATTGGAAAAGTTTCATACTTCAGAAAACAACCGCAAATAGTAACAAAAATATTATGGATTTCGCTACTTGTACATAAAAATCTATATAATGAATTACATAATATGATGTGATTGAAAAATATTGAATGAAAAGTTTGATTATATTTTAAATTGACAAATGATATAGTGTTTGTGACATTATGTAATCCATTATGTAAACTTTAATATACTTGTAGCAAGATTCAAATATTATTCCCTTTATCGACCTATAATAGTTGGATAAAACTATTTTTCCAGAAGAATTTGACAAAAAGTTTTACATAATTGCATGTGACAGTCTATTATTGAATATAAAAGCGGATTTTGTTTTAAACTGTCCAATAATAAAATGTCACATGAGATTATGTCAAACTTTATATCAATCTTGATAATCATGCGTCATGATTCATAATAGTTAGCATATTAGTGCATGCTTTGTCGACGTATAATAATATCTAGCACATCTCCAAGTGGTAAAAGGTGAAGGTGGAAAAACTCTAGTTTTGCTTGAGACTGTTGCGTCAAGGGTTCGAATCCTGAAATATGGATTTGGCCCTTGGGTAAGTGCAAGTGTACAAGCAGTCTTCCACTCTGTACTCTTGGAGGCATAACTTGCGATTTACCTCTTTCACCAAGGCTCAGGGCAGGGCAGGGCAAGGACCGCTAAGGATGCGGTTCATCCTTTTTTTTTAGCATGTTAGCTCTTTAGTTTGATATCTAAAGATTCGATAACAGTACTCATTTAATATTACATAAATTTGCACTCCGTGCTTGCTTATTAATGCCTAAAAATGAGTTATAGATATTGAAAGTCAATTGTCTCCTCTAAAAGTATCTCCAATATAAAGAAGATCTTACATTTGAAGATTCTCTCGTAGATACTATAAATACAAAAAAATTGAACACTAAAAATGGTTAGAAATTAAAAAAAGAAGAAGAAGAAGAAAGTGTAATCTAAATCCTCTTATATCAGTCTCTTCCTACGCAAGCTCTTTGAAGAAGCCCTTGAAATGAAGTATCCAACTCCAAGACACATCACCCAAATCCCCACATCCAGGGCCCATGCTACCGCCTCCATTTCCACCTCCATCTCGCCACCTTTATTGCTGCCGTCGCCGATACAATCAGAACAACCACAGCAGCCGTCTGATTCAAGTTCAAAATCTCTCTCTCTCTCCTCCGGAATTTCCTCCAATTGACAACACGTCGAGCGACTCCGCCGCCGTGCCACCGCCATCGCCACCTTCTCTCTCATCACCGCAGCCTGACCTTCCACAGAGACACATATCTCAGCATCCTTCACCTTGATATCATCACTCTCCGTTAAACAACATTTGCACTCCATTTTCCAATTTTCTCCCTCGTCTTTCCCAAAAGTTCCTTTCAACACCTTTACATCCCCAACATATATCTCAAATCTCACTCCTTCACAAACCTTTACTCTCTCTCTACTCCCATAAACAACCCCTTTGCTCTCCTCCAATAATACCCTGTGAAGCGTGACGAAGCCGGGCGAATCGGGTTTAATATCCGACCCGTTTATCTCCAAAGGGCTCCCGTTAATCCGAGGAAGATAATGCAGCGTCAAAAAATCAGGTAAAATCTTCCTTGTACATGAAACTGATAAATGAATATAAAATGCTTTGATTCTCAAGCGATCTCTTTCGTTGTGTTGAAACCCTCTACACATTGTTGGTGATTCTTGATTTGATTTTGTTGTCAAAAAAAATTTCGTGCTGAATATGTGGAAAATGGATTTTGATAAGTAGATGAAAGAATTGATGGTTTCTGAAGAAATCGGTGGGAGTGAGAGCACACGGTTTTGACGATTTGGAATTGCGTTGCATGGAAATATAGAAGGTGACGTGGGGAAGACGACAAAGGTGTTGGCAGTTTTTAGGGCCAATTGATTTCGTGTTTTACTACGTTCTGGGCCGTTGCAACTTGACAACTTCTTTCTTGCCTGATGCTTATCTTTAGTGCGTGTGCGAATTATGTGTTATAAATTGTTTATTATTTTTAAATGTGGATAATTCGAATTATGCTTGTTTGAAATAGAAATCATCGGAGTGCAATGCAACAAAGTTTACACAACATTTCACTCTTTACAATTTTTTTTTTTAAATAAGAATAAATTGGATTGAGCAGAATTAGTCGATCAATCGTACTGATTGGTTTTGTAAGTAAAATTTCCACTTCGCTATTGCCTTTTGAGATGACTAAACATAAATGTTTTTCGATGATAGAACGCATCTTTATACCCGTCTGAGAGCCCCTACTGTGTTCTAAGCTGATTGGTTTTATGAGTAGAATTTCCATCAGTATTCGATTTGATTTTAGATTTTTGTGGTAACCATTGAATTTAGTGTGCACAATTCCTAGAAGAATCATTAGTTTTTTAGTTAAAGATAAGCACAACTTCATTCACGTCACTGCATTATTTTGAATAATTTCAATTAAAGTGGCACGTTACTTAGAAATACACATTACGTAGTGTATATGTGTGAGAGAATTGACATAAGGGACAAGGGCCAACTATGGCTCAAACCAAACCAAGAGCAATTTGGTCAAGAATATGAGGCCCGTAGAAAAAGGCCACTTGGGCCTCCACAATGTCATATGAGCTATTTTTCGTTGGATTTTATTGAAATTACTACTTAAACGATGCTTTACAAACAAACTTTAG